TTCGCTTTGATGCCCCAATAAATATACAAAAGATCCCATCAGATAACCGGCGAATGGAGCCGCTGTCGATTCCGCCGCTCTTAATGAAAGCCACGCCGAGGAATGTCGTGGACAAAGCCTTAAAATGCTAATAACACGAGCACGACACAGGGGCTGCGCGCCGCCGCCCGCGCCGCCGCCCGCACCTCTAGAATGTGTTCTGATAACGAAGGTGCCAATCTCGCAGGTGGACAGATTAAATGAGTATTTTATGGCAGATTAAGTAAACATTTTTTCCTTGATGGGTGTTTTATAGCCCGCCGGCGTGTGGGCATGCGCTCCTTGGAATGTTTTTACAATTATAGCTACCTACCTCGCTCCCGTTGAGGTACACCGCTATTAATTTTAAAGGTCTTTAATTGGTGCTTATCCATCGAATTAAAATACTAATTACATTTCTCCAAATTTTATACATATGTTGATTGATAAAATACTTGCGTGTATATTATTTATATTTACGTAGGTACCTACCTACCTACCTAGCAGGTAACTCGTAAGTACCGTCACGCTTGTTACTCTTAAAGAGATTTATTTAAAGGGACAATTTTTGTAGTATCGGTCTCAACTCGACCCTCGACTAAACATACAGTTTTCATATCATCAATCATATCGTTTTGACGTTCGATGTGAACAGACGTGTGCATTATACATACTGTTGAATTAACGCAAGAGTGACCTACTAAATTATTTTTGCTTAGTTTGAAATTTAGTATTTTATAATGGAAACATAATCATATTTAATAAAAATGGATAAAATCCCGAGCAACCTGGCTTCCTGTGCCTCACCAATAGAAAGCAGCCGTAAATCTGACTTCTCAATAGAAGCTGTGTCCACGCCCGACATTCAGAACTGGATGGCAAGCATTGAACAGCAGTTAAATGAAGTATGTGTCATTGCAACGGAAGGCAAACTCAATTCGGAGCAAAAGCTTAGAATATCAAACCTGAGCCGTAAAATTGGAGCTGATGTCTCACAAATGGCTGTCCTTTATCAAGCACTGAAGCAGCAAGCTCGCCTAGCCGTCAACATAATGGATGAATTGAGAGAAAACTGTGACCTATCGGAACAAATTGACGAGATTAAAAAATCTCTCAAGGACTCAACTACAGCCAAGACTGTGTCTTTTGCGGACATGGTGAGAAAAGGATCCGATTTCGTTCGACCAAACAATCTGGCCTCTGTCGCTGTGTATCCAGCCAATAAATTGAAAACTAGCGAGGAAACTAAAACTATGGTGCAAACAATTATAAGTCCTAGTGAGATGAAGCTGCGCGTGCGTGGAGTCCGCAAGACACAAAACGGAGGTGTAATAATCAGCACTGAGTCGAAACAGGATGCTGAAAAAGTGAAGCAAGCAGTTGGCCTGTCGTTATCCGGTCTTCTCGCAGACGAACCAAAGAAGCGCAAACCACGAATCGCAGTAATAGGAGTGCCGTCGACAATGACAGATGCTGACGTCTTCAGGTATATTTATGACCAGAACGTATCTGACAAGCTCCCGGAGATGACAATGGAGTGTTTTTTAACATCAGTCAAGCTAAGTCACAAATCGGGAAGAAAGGATGCGCCGACCTGCAATTTCATCATCGAAGTTCCAGGCAAGATACGTAAAGCCCTTATATCTCAAGAGAGAATTTATATCAATTGGACTTCCTGCCCCGTTAGAGACTTTACGCTTGTAACGCGATGCTACAATTGCCAACTATATGGACACGCAGCAAAATCATGCAGAGAGATCAACTCATCGTGTGGCCACTGCGGAGAAGCAGGACATGTACAATCCTCGTGCACTAAAAAGCTGGAATCTCCTAAATGTGCTACATGCTCTCGTTACAATAAGCCCAACAAACATAAAACCGGAGACACTGACTGCCCGGCTAGGAAAATAGCTGAATATTATATAGGTATATCAACTCTATCGATTATGAGGACGCGTAAAGTGTCATATTCTCAGATTATAGAGTTGATTAGCCTTTCCTTGCACATTAATTAACAATTTGTTGCTGTTCAAGCATATTTTATTGTGACATCGAGTGAATGACCGTTTGGACTGTAAACTAGATTATGTTTCTGTTGATGTATCAAATTCTTCAGTACTATAGTTCCTACAATGTTTTATATAAATATAAATGTATCTCTATCTATGTTTTGCAATTAAGCTAATACAATTACTTGTTTAATAAATGTACTTTTACGATAATATTAATATTTAGTTACCTATCAATATATGTAGTTATGTACGTGTGTATGTATGTATGTATGTATATTAAATAATCAACTTTACTTTAATTTTGATCGATTACTAACAAATTCCTTAACATATTAAGGAATTTGTTTATATAAATAACTTGTCCTAGAATTAGTAATATTGTGAGTGCTCCTTTCGCCTGTGATACAGGATATTCTTCCTAGTACAGGCATTCAAACCTAGTGAGATCTCTGATTATAAATTAAGATGTTTATCTGTACTATGACCAATTTCTTATAATGAATAAAGATTTATTTATTATTATTTATTATTATACATGTGACAAATAAACCATAGATCTTAATATCATCTTGATATTATACATATCTACTTTGTATTTTTTTATTTATTTTGTATTTATTGACGTTTCAAAAGTACCAAACTATGGTTTAATTGAAATAAATGCTTTGACTTTGACTTTGACTACATATTTCCGCAATGTCCAATGTTTAAAAACCTTATGTTTCAGGGTTTCAGCTAAATAATGTACCTACCTATTTACTTACCTACCATAAGTGAAAAATTCAAACAAATTTGTAAGAAACACAACAAGTTGTTAAGTAAAAAATAGGTACTTACTCACCTATATACGTAGTTACCCACTTTTATCTAACATTGAGTTTCCACAAGTTACTCGGATGCTTCTCGTTCCTGTAGAACTCTCAGGACATGAAATAGCCTCTATGTAACACCCTGAAAGTTTTCTATTTATCACATTTTTGTGTGGGAGAGCCATGCTTCGGCACGAATGGGCCGGCTCGACCGGAGTGATACCACGGCCTCACAGAAAACCGACGTGAAACAACGCTTGCGTTGTGTTTCGTCGTGTGAGTGAGGTTACCGGAGGCCCAATTACCTTCCCCTTCCTCAATCTCCCCAATCCCTGAATCCCCAACGAACCTCAAACTCCTAATCCCCAAAAAGCCGGTGACGCACTTGTAACGCCTCTGGTGTTCCAGGTGTCCATGGGCGACGCCGATTGCTTACCATCAGGTGATCCGTCTGCTCGTTTACCGGCTTATGCCATAAAAAAAAAAAAACATAAATTTCAGCGTTCAACACACGATACTATACACGATGGGCAGTGGTCAGTTGCCCAGTACAATTTAAATTCACAGGTCACAAAAGGTCAGTGAATTATAATCACGTTTAGAATAAAAAAAGGCCCACCTACTTCCGACTCGGCCGAGGAGATCGAACACATCACACGAGCTTCGCAAATTAAATGTCTTAGACTGAGTTAAACTGACTAGGTATGTACCTAATATTGAGAGTCAATTGAATATGATGCGCCATCTATGCCCTCTGCATTTAGTTTAGGTGGATACCCACGCATTATCACATGGAAAGAATGAGCATTTCGTCTTTCCTAAGAATTTCTGAATAAGGCTAAGTAAGTAGGTAGCTACATACTTTCGCCTTTTTGAAACATTATGTCTATTATTGGGTAAATGAATACTTCACTTCCTACTATATGGGACCTAACTGGGCAATTGTTTCTCATCTTTTCCCTTTCTGTCTGCTCTTATTTCATACTATTTGCATATTTATTTGGTCCGAAATAGGTACATACATACCTATAAGAAAAAAAGCAGCATTATATACGGTCGAATTGAGAACCCTCTTTTATTTTTGAAGTCGGTTAAAAAAGGAGTGTGTCGATGTGCACTTTTGGGATGATGACAGGGTATGAAAATTAAAAATATAGGTACTTAATTAGTATTTTTTTATTTTGTCGTAGGTATAATAAAACAATACTTAAGAATCAAAGTTTAGGAGTGGGGGCTAAAACTTCATTTCTACGTAGGTATAAAATGTAGGTATGTACCTACATAGAGGTGACGTTATGCGACATTTCAAATTAACTCGTCGAGTACCGTCATTATAGACACAATTATAGAACAATAGGTAGGTTGCGGTCACCGGTGACCGCTTGGTGTTTGACAGTTTAATATATCGTCGAAAGTATTCGTTTCATTTCATTTTCATTCTATACGTGTCTAATGATTTAAAATAATCTACCAGACGGACATTAAAATAAAAATAGGCATTTACCCTATTACAAACTTCTATCACATTTTTTCTATCACAACTATTTGATGATATAACAATTTTTAAGTAGAAATGTTGAAGACCACAATTTATTTGCCCATACGACACAAAACAGTCATCGAGGCATAAAATAATTATTCTATGTAAACTACATACGTTTTTAGAACCGACTTGAACCCCCTCTATTTTTGACATGTTACTGCTAACGCCATCTATTGCACAAATGAGATTCAAGACTGTTTGCGTACATCTAAGTTAAAGTGAAATGAAGATAGAAAATGTATTTAAGTGCGGTAAGTTTGTGAAATAATTTATGTGTTTGAAATAATTACCTATTACCTATTTATTACTTTTTGTTGCTAATGCTAAGTCTACCTACTATGTCATAAAAATCTACTTTAAGTTGTCTACTGTAGTGTATAGATGGCACTACTATGTTTTCAGGGAACGTCTTTTATATCTAGTAAGTTGTCATTTGAATGTTAATACCTATTTTAAATTGTTCCTATTTATTTACCTAATTGCTGGATTATGTGAAGGTAAATATTTAATAACCATAGTACGTTAAACGGAAAGTCATTGCAATACACTATGCTAATGACAATGTCATGCGTCATGAATGTCATTGTCATTTGTCATCTTGTTGTCACATCAGTCAAAACTAAAAGTTGAAGCGCATCATTCGCCTGTTGTTGTTAGTTGTTACAGATTTGCGCTGTATTATTAATAATAGACACCGGCCTGTAGAAGATGTGCTGTCTCGATGCCGATGACTAGCATTAACGTTGCGGAATGGTCCGTGGAGCAGGTTGCGGACTGGCTGTCGGGTGAGTGGCTGCGGCCGGTGTAGTGGAGCGCTGTGCGAGTGCGAGTAGTGCGAGTGAGTCACGGGTGTTGTCGGCAGGGCTGGGCCCCACTGTGGCGCGCTACGTGCCGGCGCTGCGCGAGCGAGGACTGGACGGGGCCAAGCTGCTCACCCTGCGCTGCGATGACCTCGAGTACCTCGGGGTGCACGTCATCGGACACCAGGAACTCCTACTCGAGGCGGTCGAGCATCTCCGGAACTTTGTGAGTCAATTGTGGTACAATTTGTTTGTGTACTGTATTCAAGTAAAATAGTTTTGTCTGTAGTGAAACAAGATGAGTCATCGGAGAGCAATACATTCTCACTTATCTGAGCAATGTTATCTGTTAGTGAGCACAGCTACTGAGCGGTGTGAGCATTGTGTGAGTGTATGTACATGGCGCGGTGCAGTAGTGTGGATGTGTGTGCAGCACTTCGAGGTGTCCCGCGAGTGCGTGGCGCGGCTGGCGCTGCGCGTGTCGGTGCTGGCCACGGGGCTGGCGCGCTCGCTGGCCGCGCACTGCGACGCGCGCCTGGAGACACAGACCCTGGCCGACGTCGCCTCCACTGTACACGCTGTCAAGCCCCTCGTCTGCTGGCTCGATAGGTAACACATATCACTAACCTACTGTTATTATTCACACCAAACCACATTTCTCTAGAAGAAAATTATGTAGTGTTTTGTCAACCCTGTAACTAAGATTAACTTACCCAAAAAAAATATATATATAATATGTAATTATTATGTTTTTGGATTACTCACAGAACTGTTTGCTCAAAGTCAAAGTCAAAGCATATATTTCAATTAAACCATAATTTGAAACATCAACAAATACAAAATAAATAATAGTCTGTCAGTCAGTCCGTCAGTGAAGCTAGGTGAAGCTACATTCCAAAAAGTGGTTCGAATGGAGAAGAACGTGCAAGAAACTCCATTTGTTACTCTTTTTAAGAAGTATGTTCTACAATGTCTCTGGTACATATTCCAATACTGTACATATTTGTGAGAACAATGCAAAGACACATTTGACACATAGGTACTAATTACAAAACTTACTAAAATAAAAAGTCTTATAGTCTAACATGGTGCTCACATATGCATACTGATAATCCATAAAAATAGCGTTTCTATATAAGAAACAGGAAACTCTTGGTTTGCTGAGGAACTCAACTTAGTATGTCTCACCAAAATTATAATATAAACATAGGGAACTTTAATATTTGTCACTACCGAACTCCCAGATGCGGAATAAAATATTTGTTAAGGGACATTGATCTAAAAGTACGTAACTTCTCTCAATTAGATTATTGTATTATATTTATTGGTGAAAACGATTTTACAAAAACGCATAATTATATTGACTTTGTTACTTATATTAGAGATAAATTATTACCACTTAATCATACTAACTTCATAATATGTCTGCCAACTTTTAAATTTATGGACAATACAAATATAATGTTTAACAGCAGAGTTGATACTTTCAATAATCTAATTTACATGGATGTTGAGACTTACAATTATGCATTTATACAAGATTCAAATCTTAATCTTCTATACATGTGGGATATTATTTCTCCTTTGGCAAACTAAAGCTTGCCAAAGGAGAAATAATTTCCTTTGCCGACGATACATGGGAGGGAGTCTATGGCGCTGCCCAGCGTGGCCTAAACTCCGTGAAGGAATGGCTTCAAGACAATATACTGACCCTAAATATAGATAAAACTAAATATATGTGCTTCAGTATTAGACAAAACTATGCACCCCCCTATAACCATAATATCATACTGCATGCGTGTTCCTCTGAGGATATCTGTCAGTGTCCATCACTAGAACGAACTGAATCGATAAAATATCTTGGCATTGTCATAGACTCTAGGCTTAGCTTCAAAGAACACATCAAACATGTGTGCCTTAGAATACGAAAACTCATGTATATCTTCAAAAGACTGAGACACATTACTGAAGCTAAATTGTTAAAGCAAATATATCTCGCGTTATGTCAGTCAGTTTTAACTTATTGTATCACGGCTTGGGGAGGAACATACAAAACCACAATGAAATCCCTTGAAGTTGCTCAACGTGCTGTGCCGAAGGTTGCTATTGCAAAACCAATTTACCACCCTACGACTTCTTTATATCAAATCTGCGATGTCCTTACTGTTCGGCAGTTATTTATACTGAATACTACTCTTCTACAACACGGAAAACTGGTCTACAATTCCCAACAGTTGACTAAACGTCGACGATACAAGGTATGCAGCACTCCACAACACAGTAAAAATAATTTTATTTCAAGATTTGCTGACCACATCGGACCATACTTATACAACAAATTAAATAAAATCCTAAACATCTACCCACTAACCAAAGTAGAATGTAAAATAAAACTAAAAAAATATCTACAAAAACTAAATTACGAGGAAACTGAACAACTACTGAACAAATTAATGTGAAATAAACAGACGCGCGCACACACCCACAAACACACACACAAACACACACACACACACACAAACACACACAAACACACACACACATACACATAATGGCCAAAATAGTTAATATCTGCGTTGAGAAAGTCCCTTTTTTTTATTATTATTATTTTTCTTGTAGTAATTTTTTATTTATTTATTTGTATATACTTTATTGCACACATAGAAAAATTGTAAGCATTTCAATAGTAATTTGAGTACAATGGGCGGTCTTATCACACGCGGCGATTTCTTCCAGACAACCTTTCGATGGAATTTTTGAAAAGAATCTGTGAATGGGTATATATGAATATTATGTTATTACTTTTTATCTTATTCTTGTTATTTTTCTTTAAACAAAAATTAATATTATATAACTGACATTAGAAAGGCTGAAATTATCTGTACGTTTGAGGGTTGGGCACTGATAGTCGAAATACAGGCAATGCCTAGTTCGACTACAGAAGCTAAAATCATATACCTGTAAAAATATTGTAGCCAAAACTATTGTTGATATATTGTATTAAGTGCTTATGAATAAAAATAAATTATTATTAATATTAAATAATACGTATAACCAACGGCATGCTCACCTGAATAACAAAGGCTTTATGAAAGTTTTGTCAGACTTGCATGATTTAATCTTGGACCTAGATATTGTAAATACCAGAGACCATAATAAACACTCACAAGTTGGTTGCTCTCAAGGGGATAAAACTGATGGCGGTTCAGTAATATTAACAAAAGCAATGGAGAATCAGTTTTTTCACCTTACCATTCTCCATCATTTATCCTTATATAAGGACTCGAGTGCCTGTGTCAGAATAAATGGGGACTACACAGAGTGGTTTAACATTAATCGAGGTGTTAGGCAAGGCTGTGTAGCATCTCCTTGGCTGTTCAACCTATTTATGGACAGCTGTTTGAACGACCTGAAAGTAGGAGAGTCTGGATTAAGGATGAATGACACAGTGATTAAAACATTGTTGTATGCCGACGACCAGGTGCTTGTTGCCTCGTCGGCCCAAGAATTACAACAAATGATCACTGCTATGAATGATGCATTTGAAAGGAAAGGTATGAAAGTAAATGTGAACAAGACGAAAGTGTTGGTGATAGAAAGAAATGAGGTGATAACAGAATGTCAGGTAATGATAGGTGATGAAAAATTGGAACAAGTGAATGAATTTGTGTATCTGGGATCACTATTTACGAGAGATGGAAAGTGTGACGGGGATATTGAAAGGAGAGTGAAAGCGGGAAATAGTGTTAATGGTGCTTTACACTCTGTCATGTCGAGTAAAATAATATCCAGCAAAGCTCGACTTGCTGTAATGCAGTGTGTATTGACACCAACGCTTATGTATGGTAGTGAATCATGGGTGTGGCAGAAGAAGCATGAAAGCAGGATTAATGCGGTGGAAATGAGAGCCCTAAGAAGTATGTGTGGACTAAAATTGAGTGATCGAGTGAAAAATAGTGTTATTAGAGAAAGGTGTGGATTGAAAGATGATGTAGTGACAAGGATTGAAAAGGGAATGTTACGCTGGTTTGGACATGTAGAAAGGATGGATGAAAGTAGAGTAACGAAAGAAGTATACAGAGCGGATATGAATGGGGCCGTCGGTAGAGGGCGCCCTAGACGGACATATAGTGACCAGATTGGCGATATATTAAAGAAGGGCCAAATTAAAAGTACCCTTAACCGACGAGCATGCATGAAAAGATTGATGACTGTTAATGAAGCGAAAGAGGTATGTAAGAATCGTAGTAATTGGCGTTCCTTAGTCTCTGCCTACCCCCATGGGAGACAGGCGTGAAGTTATGTATGTATGCATTCTCCATCAGAACATAGCTGGGCTTATGAATAAATCAGATATGTTAATAGTTAAATTAGACGAGCTTTCTAGTAAGGGAATAAAGGTAGATATCATCTGTATAACAGATCATTTTATAGAGGCGGGCTATGAATGTATATTGCATATCCCTAATTTCTGCCCAGCTGCCTTTTTTACCAGAAGTGTCAAACGTGGGAGAACTTGTATTTTTGTAAGAGCAGGGCTGCAATTTGGAGAATTGACTTATATTGCAAAACAGTCGATCTCGGGTGTTTTCGAATGTTGCGATATTGAACTGACATCTTATAATAATGTTGTAATATGCATTTACAGAATTCCAAAAAATAATTTTAATGTATTTTATGAAAAATTGGACAATATATTGAGAAGACTTTGCGTATCTACAAATAAAAAAATTATATTAACCGGAGACTTTAATATTGATGTGTTAAAGAGAAATAAAATCACAACAGAATTTGAAAACTTTCTCTTGCAATACAATCTCAAATTAGAACTTAATAAACCAACCAGATTGGCTAGTAACTCTTGCTTGTATAATTTTGCACATTCTTACCGTAAAGGTTGTAAAGCTGAAATAATAGATTTACTTCTATCTGACCACAGTGACCACACATCACAACTACTCCAAGTTCCTATTAAAAAAACCTGTATGATTAAATATTGGAAAATAACTAAACAGGAAATATCAGTAGATAATTTAATGAAATTTAAAAATCATCTAAAAAACCTAACTTTTCGACGAGTATACGAAGCAAAGGACGCAAATGAATCATATGAAAATTTTATAGATGACTTTATATTGTTATACAAATTGTGTTTCCCAGAAAAAATAGTAACCATTTATACTTGTAAAAAAACCAAATGGATTTCGAAGGGGATAAAAATATGTAGCAGAAAACAGAGGCAGCTACTTTGGACATATAGGCATAATCCGAACACAAAAAATAGACTTGCTTTTAAAAAGTATTCCAAGCTTTATAGAAGAATAGTAAATTTAACCCAGAAGGCCCAAAACAACCACTTCATAAATACGTCTCAAAATAAGTCAAAAG